TTGAGGCCATACTCATAAGTGAAATAAATAGGACACACATGTGTAAATATCGAATAGTTTCTCTAGTGTGAGAAACTGAAAGTGTAAATAAGAATTAAAATGATTAAAATGAATAATTGATAATTTGAAATAGGAAGAAAAGGTACAAAGGTATAGGGGTGGTGGGAGGGGAAGGGGAAAGGAAAGGAGAGAAAGGAAAAATTATGAGAAAAGAAAAAAAATGGAAACAAAGTCTATGTAAATAGGGAAGAGTAGAGGCGGTGAAGAGCACACAGGTAATGGGGAAAAAATAAGAACTAATTTACATTTACAGGTACATTTACAGGTACAAGCACCCAATGATAAATGTAAGCGTACTGTATACCTAAAATGTACCAATAAAAGAATTTAAGGAAAAAAAAATTTTTTGGCCTCTCCACATTGTTTTATCAGAGCTCAGATGTGACTATAAATAGATAAGTATTTCTAGGATCTGCTCTTGGGCATTTTGTAGTGGAGGAGGGAAGATAGTTCATTTTCCTAGATTTCAGGTCGCTAATGACATCTTCATTGGCTATTGATTCTGAGTCACACTAAAGCTCCTCTGTAGGTCTGGGGTTGGCTCTGTGAAAGGTAAAACTCAGCAGTATCTCTGTCTTTTGCCATAGTTGGTCCTGTTGAGTAGGGGGAGAAACCCTGCATTATGGGGCTGTGTTCCACTTTGGGTTGTCAGTTCATATCCACATTGAATTCCAGGGCTAACTGAGTTTGGGACATGCTGCAGGTAAGATCATGCAAAACAAACATACCTTTTGAACTGTGGACACCTAAAAGATATATATTAATTTGTTTACTAGGATTATTTTAAAATAGTAGTAAATTACCTGGTGTACTCACTATTTATTGAAAGCCTACCAAATGCATAATTTTAGTTTCACAATACACTTTTTAATATAAATGTATGTCAGCTTCATTAAGATATAATTCACATACCAAATGATTCCCCCATTTAATGTGTACACTCTGTGTTTTTTTTATCTTCAAAGTTGTGCAGTCATCACCACAGTTCATTTTAGAGCATTTTCATTACACTCAAAAGAAGCTTTACACGCTTTACCTATCATCTCCCTTCGAATGCCCCTCCAACACCTAGTCTCCAGAAATCACTGATCTGCTTTTCTGTGGATTTGCCTATTCTGGGCATTTCGTAGAAATGCAATCAGAGTATGTGGTCCTTTGTAACTCACTTCTCTCATCTAGTGTAGTGTTTTCGCAGGTCATCCATGTTGTATTATAATCAGTCCTTCATTCTTTTTATTGCTAAATAATATTCCCTTGTGTGGGAATTTTGTTATCTACTTATCAGGTGTTGAAGATTTAGTTTGTCTCCACTTTTGCTTGGTATTATTAATGCTGGTGGATATTCATATTGTTTGCAGACATAGGTTTTCAGTTCTCTTGGGTATATACCTAGGAGTAGAATTTCTCAGTTTTAGAGTTACCTATTTTAAACCTTAGAGGAATACCACACAGTCTTCAAAAGCAATTGCACCAATTTACATTCCCACTAGCAGGGTATAAGTTATCCAGTTTCTCCATACTTTTGCTAACCCTTGTTATTATGGCCTTTTGATTTAAGAATATTGTTATTTTAAAAGAACATACCATATTTTTGTTTTGTTTTGTTTTTTGGTACCAGAAATTGAACTCAGGACCTTGTGCTTACAGGTATGGTGTCACTGAGCTAAATCCCCAGCCCAAAACAACATACCATATGATAGATTATTTTTAAATTAAAAAGAAGTTTCAGGGCCAGGGATGTAGCTCAATGGCATAGCACTTGCCTGGCAAGCGTGAGGCCCAGAGTTCAATTCCTG